TTGCTCTGTGTGTCATTTTTCACTTAAAATTCCTTTGACTAACTTCCAATATTTACTAGAGTGAAACCTGATGAAGAAAAGCAAACTACTATGCGGCTACAGCAAACTAAACTTAGGTTAAAAGGATATAGTTCTGACGTGGCTTTTTTGGGAACAAACACTGCTGTAAGAGAGGTCTTTTAAAGTGAAAGTTCAGAGGACAATCCACTTCTGAACCAACCTCAGCTGAGACTGAAAACAACTTGATTCAAACTGATCTGTATACCACTTTGAAGCCTTCAAAGGCAGAAAGGTTATAAAGTAATAAGTTATAAAGTAAATAAAAATGCAAGAGACATTCAGAGGTTTGTCATTGCCTGCCTCTGCATCATGACCCCAGACTTCCTTGGTGGTCTCCCATCCAAGTAGTAACCAGGGCTGACCGTGTTTGGCTTCTGAGATCAGGCCAGCCTGGGCTATCTAGGTCAGGATCTGCTCCATCATAATTCCAGTTTAACCACGAGAACATCTAAAAATCATTCCATTTTTTTTTGCCCCCCAAAGGGGATTTTTTAATTACATTTTCTATAACTAAACACTACATGAAAAAAGGGAAGGGTCTACAAACTATGGGATAAAGGAAAGAAACCTCTAAAAACCCAAGAGTGGGTGTCATACAAACAGCTTAAAAAAGATTACATGTTTATATAACTAAGTTCTCATGCAAAACCATTGAACATGGTCATCATCCTTCTATATACTTCAACTCTAGATAAAATCATCGTTTACTATGACTTCATAAAGAGCCAAAGAAAGCATAGTTTAAACATTTTTTACAACTTCAGAATTATGACAACAACTCATTTTTTGTCCTTTGTCTTCCTCAATTTATAGCCTGTTTTGGGGCCACAGCCCCCAAATTTGAGTCTGATTCTTTGCCAGAAGATGACTCCGCTCCATTACTGCCACCCTCCTTGGGACTGTCTTTTTCTTCTTCTTCTCCCACGTCTGCTGGACAGCTATGAATATACAAGAATTCTCTTGCCTTTTCCCACAGTGTCAATTTTCTCTTTTCCGTTCACGAACTTAAAGATCACTCTTTCAGGCAAAGTCCATCTGTAGGCAATTTGTTTCTTTTGTAGAAATAAGACCAAGTCTTTATACTTTTTTTTAATAGTGCAAAATACAACAAGCAGCAGAGTCCCTGTAACACATGCAAGGCAATAAATAATAAACAAATAAATAAAATAGGACCAAAATCAGAATGTTCCAATATGGAATTGAATGGCACACCAAAAAGTTTCTATTTGGGGCCACAAATATATCTGTGCTTGTGTCAGAAGTTGTTGTATGAACTGGAAATATTATGTCCCTTTCAGTTTAGGTCCTAAGAGTGGAAATAGAATTGCCTTGTCAGGGACAATGTGCCACCAAGTCTTTATACTTGTGTTTTTCCTCCTTATTTTAAATGGAATATCTTTTAAGACCTTTATCTCTTTGCCCTTAATTTTCAGAGTAACTCCATTAGCCGCTTTGAGAATTTGATCTCTCACGCTTCTTCTTGAGAATCTCACCATCACTTCTCTCAGCAGATTATTCTTCCTTATAAATTCTGTATACTATCTAAAGACCGTATCAATATCGCTTTGCAAAGTCTCCGCTTTTATATCTGCCATTTGCCCCAAGGCTTTGCACATTATCTGTATGAGATTCTCCCCTTTTTCTTCAGGGACCTCCTGGAATCTTAGGGCATAACCCTAACTCTTTCCATTTGCAACTGTAGTAGTTGAGACTCATCTATCTGATGCTTCTTCTCCATTGCCTGCATTTGTTTTTGTAGCTTTCTGGCATTGGTATCAACGTCTTCAAGTTCCTGCTCTATCTTTTTGACAGTCTCATTAATTTGGGCTTGTTGTGTGTCTAGTTTTTGATTTAGTGCCGTCACCTGTTCCAGCAGAGGGCGCAATGCTTCATTTAATATCCTTTGCAGGTCTGAAGTTGTGTCCTGTCTGGGCACAACACTAGCTGGACTAGCACTTCCGGCAGACTTAGCTTTCGCTATCTTTTCTTTCTCCTCTTTCCTCGTTGGAGGTGCCATTTTGAGGAATTGTTTACTTTTCAACAAAAGTTATCACAGTCTCTAAAGTTCTCCAATGTGCTCGTTAAGTTCTTAAAAGTCCTTTATTTCGGTCTTTTTTGCTTCACAAGCCCACCCCCCCCTGCTTAAACAGTAAAGTTAGCTTGTTTATCTTCTCGGAGGATAGTCCCGCAGGACGGTTTTCAGCTTTTTTCGATGTTCTCGCTTTAACTTAACTCACAGTTCAATGGCAACAGGGTTTTCTATTCGCTTTAAGTACCAAATCGCTTGATCACCCGGCGCTTGATCTGGTGTGCGCTTCTTGTTCCATCAGGAAACTCTGTAGCAGGACCGTTGAAGCATGAATGCCCCCCCCCACCAGCAGGGTCGCCGGAAGGGAAGCCTTCTAGCGCCCCATGGCTTGGAGCCCATCACAAGGACTCCGTGGGGGATGCGGACAATCGCACCCCCTCATTGCCATGGGTTCTGGCGATCATCTCCTGGAGGTCCATGGCGAGCACTAAAACCGGAAGTCCAAAAAATCATTCCAGATGTGGAACACATGCAGTTTGCTACACTTTTTAGATAATTTAGACTAATAGAATCATGGAGTTGGAAGGGACCTCCAGAGTCACCTAGTACAACCCCTGCAAAATGCAGGAAATTCACAAATCCCCCCCTGCGACCCCTTTCCATGCCCCAAAGTGGCAATCAGCATTTCCCTGGGCATGTTAGAAAGGGCCACAAGAACTAAGCACTGATGCAAACCTTCCTGCCCTCCCTCTCATGATCTGCCGGAGTTCACAGAATCAGCATTGCTGTCAGATGGCCATCTAGCCTGTTTAAAAAAGGTGTTAAAAAAAAAAAAAGGTTTCAACCACCCCATTCCTCTACATTATTGATGTAGATTTGAATGTTGGTAGAAGACTAGGGGGAAATTTGAACTTTATACGGTGGTACACAGTGATTGCATCAAGGTATTTTGCACTGTGTTTGCTAAATTTTGATACAGCTGCAGAACCACCACATCAAGACTGCTTTTTTGCAGTGTTTTTATACAAGCACACACGCACACTAGAGTTGCAGAAAAAAATGCAAGTGAACAGATGGACTGAAAGCTGCCACAAACTGTGCATGTTCAATGCAGTACACAAAATTCAGAAAGAAAAAATGAATATAATGACAGAACTCCTCATGCCTTGGTGCCACTTTGGAAACAGGGCCTTTCAAATTTGGAACTACATAAACTGAGAAGAGATTCAGACAAAAGAGAATTTCGGAACAATTCCAAGCCCAGAGGAGTGCTGCCCCTCGCCATCGGCAACCAAAAGGGCACTCAAGACAGTTCAGTGGGATCTGAGTGAGCCCCATGAAGCATGTTGAGATGTGCATCTACCTACCACACATGGATTTTGCACTCACTTGATGAAGTTTCAGGCCTAGCATTAAAATGGATCCATTTATTGCAGGATCCTCCAAATCAATTGAGCTCTGGTGGCGCCAAGTGTTTCCTTCTTGAGCAACCTTTGTACGACATTACAAGTGATGGCAAACATGCATGGAACAGCAACCCTGGACAACCTGGGGGGATGGGGGGGGGATTCTTGCAGAACCCTCAGAGAAGGGAACAAAAATTGTGCAGCATTCTTGCTTGGTTTTCAAACCTGACACCAAATTCAGCGCTGGAAGATGCCCTGGATAAAGAGAGTTATGAAGAAAATTTTGAAGCCAAGTCCATATTTTCCTCAGAGAGATCTTTGAAGAGAGGAACTGCCTAAATAGTTTGTAACCAAGTTAGAAAATAGGCATGTAATTTTATTCTCCTTCTTATCCCTTAAAACATCTTCCCTTCAAAAAGGCTTGATTGTAAATTACATGGTTTGAGAAAATGCAACTGAAAAAAAATGGGACAGGAGCTAGAAAACTGGAGGGCAGCAATTCAATTTATTGCTGTTCTTGACCCACAAACAATGCCTGATGATCAAAACAATACTTGATCCATGGCACCTATTTCAGTATTTCAAAAGGATCCCAACTTTCAAAAGTAATACCTTAAAGAAAAGACATTTTGAACAAACACAGAAGTCCCCAAGCCTTTCCCCCTAAGACCAGCTAAGTAGTTGGTTATGTGAAGCACAGAGGGTCTACCAAATCCATATTTAAATGTGCTGCATGCATGAAGAAAGGGGGGGGGGGAGACGACACATCATGCAAACTGTGGGTGACCAAAAGATCCACATTTCAGGTGGACAGCTGTGCTCGTCTGCAAAGAGTCCAGTACCACCTTAAAAACCAACAAGCTTTCCAGGTTTAAGCTTTCAAGAGGCAAAACTCCCTTCATCCGATACATGCTACTGGACTCAAATCTTGCTCTTCCCCTTTTAATGCTGTCTCTCTTTCTGGGGACATGCGTTCCACAAGCAAGACTGTTGCTGCAATAACAGGAGCCTTTGTGGTACAATCTGAGGGGACCTTTGCAAGACTTCTTTTTTAAAGGAGAGATGTGAAGTAGCACCAGGCTTCACTGTAGAACCAGGTTCTGTGGCACGACAGATTACAGGCCCCTAACTTGGGCCAGTGCAGGAGAATCAGAGGGGCCTTCCAAAAACACGAGCCTTGGCCACCCCAGATCTTATTTCTACACCAGCTCTTCCTGAAAGCAGGCTGTTTCTAGCTTGCCTTGCTTAACCAGACATACCCAGCTATGTCGGGTCACCTGCCAAAGCTAAAAAACCCTGTCAAAATAGGACAGAAAACCTGAAGCCTGTGTTACAAAGAGCAAATGCATTGCAAAAATACAAGCTACCTTCAGTTAAGTGAGAATAAAAGCAAAAGGCTAGCCTTGGCCATAATTCAACCTATTTCTTCATCTTTTTATTATTTCTTTTTGTCGCTTCTACATGAAATAAATACTCGGACAGATGGAAACAAACAGAAGTTTTACCTCCCAGTGACTGAACACCAGCTGCGGACTGGCCAGGCCACTTGTTCTCTTCCTGATTTCATCAGCAAAACCAAAGCTCTCTGCCACAGGCAGCACCGCCTTGATGATAAACATGTCCGTCCCTTCTTTCATCTCTTCCTGCAATACCCGGCCTTCTCTCTTGGACAGGACAGCGTAGACACGGCCTGTGGAGGCACAAGGCTCATGAGCTCACTGTATCCTTTCCACCAATTCATATACACGACTATTGTACTAGAGCTGATTTATAGACATGGAGGGAGAGGGGGGGGGGACCACCTAAAGAAGCAATATCAGTAGCTACCAGAAGTGACTGCAAGAAATACAAGCTTCTGGTATGGTTCCCAACCTTAATATTGTTTATTTTTTCTTTTTAAAAAATAGCTGTCTTCAATACCTATGCAGATGGTGGTGGAGGGAGATGTAAAATTCTTAAAAGCAATACATCTCAGCAATACATACTAGAGAAAATGGGAAAACAAACATGGAGTTTGAGCAAGTTCCATTTGCTAGTGAACTGTTAGGATGCCCCAATGGTAACATGTGGTCCCCAGCATACGGCTAAATGTGTGATCACTAATGGCACTCCCCAACAGCAACACTCAGAATTGCTAGCCTAGTGCATTATTATTATTATGGCCCTCCAAGCACTTGTCTTTGTATAAGGAATTAAAGGACAAGGTCCACTCAGAGGCTTGGTTTGAGATGTTCACAGCTATCATGTTGAGTCTGCTTTCTTGGCAGCCATAGGGAAGGAGCATAGAAACATAAAACAATGGCGGTGATCTATGTTGTCCTACATTACAGTCACTAGATAGCCCACACTATCCCTCTAGAGCTAGAGTGTTCAACCAATCGGCTCTGCTTTTATGTGTTGAGATAACCACCTGGCTGGTGTCTAGGGCTGGACATTTCTCCCTCTCTTGCTGAGTGCCTGGTGGGCCTTGACTACTTCAAAGTCATCCCAGCTATGGTCAATCTTGTTCCACGGGCAGCAGCTACACTGGGGCTCCTGGCACAATGCCCGATCCTATGTACCAGGTAGGGCCAGATCTTTCAAGAGCATTGTTTATGGAGAATCCTGCCTCAATACAGGAGATTCCAATTTATTCTACAGCCTTGATACTGTGATTCTAGAATGGCATTTTAATGTCTGTATGCATGAAGCCAATGCTGCATTTGTCAGAGTTACAAAAAAGATACCACAGTCTTGTTCTTCTGATGAGCACTAAGACCATTACCAAACACTGCAACATACAATACCAAAAGTTGCAAGCCAATTTACTGGAGAGAGAAAAACAAAAATCTGAATTGTCAAAGCAACACATAATACGGCCCTCAAATAATGTAAGTTTGATGCAAAGTACCAATATTTCCTCTCAGCGGATTTGATGTTACTTATTTACTTCTTTCGAAAAGGGTTCTCTTACTGCCTTAAACCAGAAAGGGTTCTTGCAGCAGCTCAAGAAGACACTAACAAGCTAAAATGCAAGACATTAAAACCATAAAACTACACAGCTTTAAAAAGCCAAGGTTGCCAGTTGCAAACTTATTTTTAGATCTAGCTGTTTCTCCATCAGACCAATTGCTGTCTACTATAGAAGCCCACATGTTTGCTAAGAGGTCAGGCAGGAGTAATCCAAGTAAGTCTTTCTTGCCACAAAGTTCTGCAAAAGAGGACACCACCACTGAGAAGGCCCTGGACTGGGTAGCCAAAAAAAAATGCCTCAGATGGTGGGGGCAATCCTATGCAGGTCCTCCCTAGGAAATCTTATAGGAGAGGAAAGTGTTCAACATATGAGAGATATTCCTTCAAATACTAAGAGGAGGAGCTATCAGCCAACATGCCAAGATTCAAAGGAGAAAGAAGCAGGTGGCATTCCCCTCAGTGATCCCCTCTTCCTGACCGATGTTTTAATTGTTGCTTTTATGCCTTTGTATGTATTTCACCTCTGTTTTCAATTGTTTTAAATGATGTATGTATTTTTTGGGGGGTTAATGGTTTTAAAAAGTGTTTTTATTTTGTATGTTTTAATTTGTTAGCTGCCTTGGTGACCCTTGTTAGGGCAGAAAAGCTTGATATAAATTTTGTAAAAAATGAAAAAAAACCCCAATAAATATTGTTGCAAAAAATGCTGGAGGACCACCAAAAACAAAATAATTTATCTAGGCAAATAAAATCAGTGATGTTCAGTTTCCATTTATACCCAAAACACACCGAAACACTCTATCCATCAGCTGGGCAGGTCTTCATACACCCAGACAGTATTTTTCTTACCTAGTACCTCGGCCGTGGCCATAATCTCACAGGTGTACATGGCGGCCATAAGCCTCTGTGGCTTCACCTGCATGGCATAACGGCATGCTTCCTTCATGGTAGCCATCAGCTGTCCAGAGAATGGGCCATAGCAATCGGCAAGCACAGTCTCTCCTCCTTTACGTTTACTAGGTAGTTTGAAAGGTTGCTGGTCGCTCTCTTGGATTTCATTACTTTCTGAAGACAATTTAGAGTCTCTGCCTGTTGATACAGGAGCGGCTTCCTCTGTCACCAGTGTCTCTCCTGCAGCCTTTTCCTCCAAATCCTGCCTGTTCACGGACATTTGCTCCACAAATCTGCTCATGTCCCATTTCTCCACTGAAAAGCAGACGCCCATCAGTGGCTCTTCACACATTGGCCCAGAAAGCGTAGCCAACTGAAACCCGCTCACTATGCTATTGTCGAAGTCCCGATACAGGCTTGCTTCTTTCACCCCCTTATCCAAGCATTGCCACACAGATCTCTCATAGCCTTCAAATCTGTTCAATAAAATGTTTGGCCCACATTTTCGGGGGCCAAAGGACCAGATGCAATCAACGGCATTTCTCCATTTTCTACCTTGCAGTTTTTGCTCCAGTTTCTGTTTGAACTCTCGAATCTGGTCAAGGGTCTTCTGATTAATCTCCAGGGTTTTTTTATCTTCATTCAAAGAAGAAGTGAACTGCTCCATGGTTCGAATTAAGTCACAATTTTCCTCCAGAAGCTGAGTAAACTCCTCAGGAAGTGGCATTGCTCCAACACTCAGAGTAGCGTATTTGTTTGCTGTCGACATGGTCACAAGCCCATCCACGCCAACCTGCACACCTTCGGGGATTTTGTTCTGCTCCTCCTTACTCTGGTGTATGACAGCCACTTTCTGCTGCTTTCCTATTTCTTCATTCACCATGTCAACTTTGGGGGGCCTCGTGATTGTTTCTCTGAATGGAATAATTGGTTTGGATACGCTGATCTCTACCCTGGCAAACCTATCAAAAACAAAAAAGCACAATTATGTCCAACTGGTAGAAAAACAGTGAGGATCCCTGGACAGAGTTAATTCAATTGATCGCTCACCTGCATTTGCTCGTGATAAACCAACCTAGGCCTCTGCTTCCTATGATATTAGGCAAGGACTTAATAATGGGTGTAAAGAATGGGGATTTTTTTTTTTATCACAGTGGTAACCCAATCTCCCCTGCCATACTTTTCTCCAAGGCGTACATGGCAGTCTCTCTCTTCTTTGCTGCCAGCACTGCTTATGATGATTAGCTGAGTATCACTTTGCGGCTCTTACTTCCCATTAACATGTGAACCTGGACTGCCTAAGGAGGACTGCTGTACAAAAAATGCCAAGAGCCCCATGCTTTACAGAGGACAAATTCGATTCACTGGTTTGTGTAAAATTCCAGTGCCTTACAGGAGTAATATTTTGAGAGCTAAAATTGCACTCTGAAGGAGTTTTTACAAAGAGGAGTCTAAAGCAGGTACAGGCTGTTACAAAATCACTTGGGAACATGCACAAAGGAGTTTATAATTAGTTGTGGGAGACTGAATTTACTTGCAGTGTCTTCTGGGAAAGCAGCTGGGATGGCCTAGAACAAAGGAAAACTCTAAGCAATGCACAGAACACACCAATTCACATGAGTGAATCTCTGTTCTTTGATCTAGGACACGTAAAGATTGAGTGACCAGAGATGTGAGTTGCCCAACTTGGGGTCCTACGCAGGTCAGGGAAGCTGCAGCCAATCACACAGCAGAAGAAGGGCACATGAGTTTTCTTCCACTGTCATGATATGTAAGACAGAAATAACTGTGGGTGAAGCAGAACCCCCTGGCTGAGGGGTTCTTGAATCCTGCATGAATGAGGCATTTCCCCAGTGTAGGTTAGGGGGTGCGCATTGGTATTTTTCGGGTATATTTTGGCTTCCCAAATGTATCTGGGTTTTCTCAGAAAAATGGGGGGGGGAGTTCTCAAAAAAGTCCCGGATATATTCAGAAATTGCCAGTAGATCCAAAAAGAATGGCCTCTCTGTTGTTTTTGGGATTCTACTGCAGTCCCTTTAAATTTTAAAGGGACTGCAGAAGACAGCCCGAGGATCAGCTGTGCCAGAGGCAGGGAGCAGACTGTTCCCACCAGTACAGCTTGGGGCTGGCTTCTCCTGCAATCCAGTTTAAACTCTGGGAGAATAGGGAGCAATCTGCTAGCTGCACCACAGCAGATCCTGGGGCCACTGCAGAAGAAGCCACCTCAGCCAGGTCTGCATGCAGTGGGGAAAGACCTCCCCGTGGCATGTAGATCCTGAGGCCTGCTTCTTCTGCAGCACAGTTTAAACCGCGCTGCAAGAGAAGCCAAGCCAAGCCAGCTCCAGGATCAGGCTGGCTCTAAAAACAACAACAACAACAACAACAACAACAACAAAAAGCCGGTATTTTTCTTCTCCAGTCTATTGGACCCCCAAAATTTTGGAGTTTCTGAAAAATCCTGGATCTGAATACCATACCGTACCAATATTGGCACCTGGGATCTTTCAGAAATACTGATTTTTTTTGGCATTCAATAGACTCAAACAAACAAAAAAAGATTTTAAAAAAATTGCATGCCCCTAGCATAGATTGGAGCTGTGGTGGCTCAAGTGGTTAAGACGCTGAACTGCAGGCTGTGGAAGGTCAGTAGTTCAGCAGTTTGAGACCCGAGTTGCCGCATGATGGAGTCAGCTCCCGTCTCTAGTTCCAGCTCCTGCCAACCTAGCAGTTCGAAAGCAAGAAATTGCAAGTAGATAAATAGGTACCACTTCGGTGGGAAGGTAACAGCGTTCCGTGCGCCTTGGTGTTTAGTCATGCTGGCCACATGACCACGGAAACGTCTTTGGACAGCGCCGGCTCTTCAGCTTTAAAACGGAGATGAGCACCGCAACCCTAGAGTCGGATTCGACTGGTTTTCGAGCAAGGGAACCTTTACCTTTACCTAGTGTAGATTATTCCAGACACTTTAAAAACTGTCTTACTGATATGACACCAAAAGAGTGGAAGAGCTGAGGGAAGGTGGCTTTAACCTTTTCAAGAAGTTAAACCACAGTTACAAGCTTCGCTGAGTGAGAAATGCTACATAAAACCACTGAACCTTGAGTGTTTCCTCCCTGCCACAACACACCTCTCTTTCAAGTCATCCAAACAACGCTGAAGGTGAACTTCTCCTGCCGTTATTAACACGTGCTCTCCAGTCTCTTGAATTAAAACTTGCACACAAGGATCAGCCTGGTTTAAAAGCTTCATACCTTTGACCAGCTGAGGCATTTCACCTGGGAAAATAAAAGCATTTCTAAAACATAGTATTGCCAGAGTACTTGATTTGGAAGTAATATATAAAATCCTAGGAAGATGAGAGCACAGACTGGGAAATTTATGTATTTCAACTTCAGCACAATAAACAGTTTTTAGGTGGTGAGAGTCTGGAAGGTCAGTGTTTTTAAGATTTCAAATATGTAAACATCAAGCATGACTCTTCTTATAAGGGGAAATTTACCCTCTCCCTAATTTGCTTCAGAAAGACAAAGTGTGGTGGGTTTTAAACTCACTTTCCATTTGCAGCAGAGCAGATTTTTTGCTGACTCTTCCATCTTGCTTCATCCCCCATGACAGGTAACTGCAGTGCTGGGGAAGGCAGGAAAGTGACCATTTATGCTGGCCAGCTCTGCTCACACTGCCTGATACAAGCCCCAAGGGTGGAAATACCCATTACGTGAATGCAGGGCTGCTGCCAAAAATGATAGTACCAAGTAGAGTATCCTCTTCCTTCTCATGTCTTGATGTAATTATACTGAGCCAGTTATACAACAGCCAATGTTGTGAAATGTGTGTAAGGAAAGCGTACAGTGCAATGTATGCGTCATGGAGGGCAGAACTCAAGATGGGACTGCCATTTTCAGTGGCAACCCCTTGTTGTGCTGGAATATGATGCTTCACTCTAACACCATCGTACTGTATGCTTCTTCCAAATAATTTATCACTGTCTCATTCCAGCCTTAAGATTTTTCAAAAGTGTATTTGCTTTCAACAAAAGCAGAGTTGGTTTATTTAAAGGAACACTTGGGAAGACTCTTACTTGGATGTTTTGGCTCAATGGCAACCCGCACAATTGGTGTGGCTTCAAAGTTGAGAGGAGTAAATGGCGGACAAGCTGGTGACGAGCACAGTGTTGCTGACTTCAGTACGAACTCTTGCAGCCCTCCTATTCCTAAAAGGAACAGAGTCATGGTCAAGGCAGTCTTCCGAAGACAACATGAACAAGAATAAATGCATTTCATTTCTGAACCTGACCTTCAAATCTGCATTAGAAAGGTTTGCCGCATTAGAAAGGTCTCCCTGCACTATGATGTTCTCCTCTGACTAAGCACAGCAGCTTCTTTCCATGTCAGAGTAAATGGCAGCCAGACCTCCAAAGGGTACACTGAGGAAAATCACCAAGAATTCAACAGAAACTACTCTGAACAGCCCCACCCCATCCCGGGTTCTGTTCCTTGGTGTGATGGTGTCTTAGGCATTTAAGACCACAGAAAATGACCTTCCTGGTTTTGGCACAGCAAGAACTGTCTGCACCGGGAGGCTCTCCCATGTAGCCGCCAGATCGTCAGTTCTTTTAGAGGGGTTCAGGGGCTCCCGGACTCCACTGAGCTCCCTGAAGAGGAGCTCAGTGCAAGGGACTTGATGTGGACCCCCCCACAAGCAGCAGTTGAGCGGGTGAGGATCCTGGATCATCCTGGAGCAAGAACCGTCTGAGCACGCCCATGGCAGCCATGGGCGCGAAGCTGTGACTACCCGGGCGAAGGGGGAAAAGCAGGAAACTTCAACCAAACTGCTTAAAAACATCAGCACCGTGAGTAAATGTATAAGCAACAACATCACAGACTTCCAATCGATTAAGCCCCCTTTAAATCTATTGAAAAGACAATGGTTTGGAGGGGTGAACAGTTTGATTTATTGCTATATCCTAAACAATTTTATTAGGATATATCAATAAATCAAACTGTACATCGCCTTACAAACTGTCATATATCCCTTTCTCCTAATAACCCCCCCTTCTGACTTCCCGCAGTGCTCCAACCTCCAGCCCAAATCTTATACTTTTCCTCTCTTTCCCCTTTTTCGTTAATAAAATTCTACAGGTAACACATAACAGTTATTGTTTTGCAAACATAGAATTGGGGTGACTATAAGGTTTTACATGAGACCCCATGAAAAAATAAGAGATGAAATTACTGAAGCAGCAAATGAAATATCTCTTCAAAGAGATAAAAGAAAAGACTATATGAAACCTCAAACTATTCTAAGAATTATGGTTATTTCCAGAAGATACCTATCTCATCTACAAGAGGAAAAGACACAGAATTAAGACTTAAAGACTTAGGAGGAGAAATCAGAGAATGAAGAAGAGGATAAATGCCTATGAAAAAGCTCCAAAATTTCTTGGATAAGCGAGATCACACAAGCTTCAAAGTTTTTGGATAAGGGAGGATGCACAATCCTTCAAGATTCTATAAATGACTGAACAATATAATTATATAGCTGCTCAAGACTCCACAAATGAACTTAAATTCTTGAAAATATATTACAAGAGCATAAAAACCTTTTTTAACATATGTGAAAGATTACTGTAAGAATATAACATGAAACATGGGAAACAAATATGGTATGAGGTATTCAAACATGTAATTTGATGAGCTACTGAAACCCCCCATTTATATATCTATGTATGTTTGTGTGATGTTTGTTTATAAAAATGAAACTGCATGGTCAAGATTTGGAAATGGATTGAAGAACACAATAGATAAAATATACAGACATACAACCTTTTATAGAATACAAAAACTTTATTTTTAAAATATGCAAAAGGTTTTTGTACGAACATAAGGTGAAACATGGAAAACAAATACGGTATGAAGTGCTTAAAGATGTAAATTGAGGATGTAATGGCACCCCCCCCCCCATTTATGTACTTGTGTGAGTTTGAGTGATGTCTGTCTTTATAAAAAATAAAATGATTAAAAAAAAAGACCACAGAAAATAAAGAACACTGAGAGCTGTCTACCATTTATTTAGACTGCACTCTTACAGCCTGTGCCTGTATTTTGCTGTGGAGGCACAGAGGTTTGGGGGCTGGCCTACAGTTTTTCTCCAAGCTTCCTTGTGTCCTCCTGTTCCCACGAACACTGCTTTCTGATCGTTTTAACTGGAGATACCATGGATTGACTCCTTTTCAATTTAGAGTGTAGAGTCTTTGTAGGAGTAATACTGCAATGAGCATGGGGGGGGGAGGTTCTCCCAACCCCATTTTATTCTCATAACCAATCTGAGGCTAGGCTGAAAGAAAATGACTGGCCCAAGAACTTCATGTCAGGGTTGGGTGCTGACCTTGGGCCTCCTCAGTCTCACACCAACACTCTAACCATTACACAACACTGCCACTCAGCTGAGAGGATTTAAAAGAGAAAAGATGGAAATGAGATACCCTTAAAGCATAAGGAATATCACAGCAATACTTCTTCAAAAACCTACGCACACGTTCAGTGAGGTTTAGTTTTTCAATTAATTCTTAACTATGGTCAGACTCCACAATCAGGTTTTAATTTTGGCCTCAAAGTGCTGGTGGAAACCACAAGCAGAAACAAAGGTGATGCAAGCCCAGAGACATTTCCTCAAAGCCATGATTAAAACTGGCTTCTGCACAAGTAACATTAAAAAAAGCTGTTTTTCCTTTGGAGATCTGGCAGCAATTCATCCCCTTCAGCTACAAATCAAATATGGGTATAGGAGTCTTGGAGTTTGCGGCTCAAAACATGTGCTTATTATTTGAAGATATCAGGTTTTTAACTCATTGTATCTTGGTTATTACCAAGACGTACATAATTTAAGACTTTGTTCTATAGTGAAACATTATGCTTCAAGTAAAGAGACTAGTTCCATACTCCTGTATGGTTAAGACCAAGCTTGCGAAATCACATCTGCTGGACTATGGTGTGTTAGAAATGCTTTCAGATGACTATACAGAAGTGGTTTATGCAACTATTTTCATATTATGGGGAAGGGATATTTGGAGATATGAAGACTTGCTAGATGACCAAAATAAATTAATGCAACAAGATGAACTTAAGGGAAAAGGTATTTATCTGAACTGGTGGGAAAGGGCACAACTGGATTCTAGATATGTAAAAGATAAAACCATTAGGTTTTGTGATACACCAGTAGAACTGGATAAAATTCTGTTATGCTCTGATGGGAGGTCTATAAAATTGTTTTATATGTTATTAGACATGAAAATGCAAGACAAAGTTGTAAAAGATTCAATGATTAAGTGGGCACAAAATACAGGTCATAATTTACAAATAGAACAATGGTCCGCTTTATGGTGGAGCGCTAGCAGACTCACCTCCCGGACCTCCCGGGGGTGAAGCCGCGCTCCAGCTGAAGGAGGGGGTGCGCAGTACCCCCAGGGGCCCGGCGAAGGGACCCTGGCCATGGAACTTCTAAGAGGCTGCCTCTTCGAGGGCGAAATGCCGGAGAATTGAGGCGCCTCTTCGTTCCGACGGTTCTCCGTGCTGTGAGACCGAATGGACTTAGTGACGCTGACCAGGGCAAGTGTAGGAGATCGAGCGGCAGAAATGAAAGCTGAAAGCGAGGTCGAACGACCAATTATGAACGTGAGTCAGTTTTGAAGCGTTTTAAAGGGGGAAAGATAGCTCTCCTCCCCACCCCACCGAACGGGAAAAAGGCGAGTGGGGGAGGGACGCCTCCCATGCGCATGAACTTTTGAGCGATTGAGGGGGGGAGCGGAAGAAAACGCGAAGGAAACTGCCTAAAAGTACTTACCAAAACGAATTTAAGAGGTCAAGCGCACATTCAGAGACTTGCGAAAGTAAACAAACAATAAAGATGGCGGAGAGAAGGACAGAGAAAAACTTTTGAAAGCGAAAGGGTCTGAGAGCCCGAAACCGGAAGCTACCAGCGAGGTGGCAAAGTCTATAGCGGAGTATATGTGCCCTCTGCTGGAACAGCTGAATAACTTCAAGGAACAGATGTCTATAGTGACTCAAAGCATTACTGCACAACAAACCCAGATAAACAATATGATACAAATAATGAAGCAAGATTCTGAGAAGGTAAAGGAAGTGGCTGCAACTACCCAGAAGGTGAAGAAAAAAGTGCAAAAACTGGAAAGGAAACAAATCTCCATGGAAGATCAACTGTTGCAAGTGCAAATGGAAAAGGCCAACATGATTCTTCGCTTCTAGGGCATGCCAGAGAACAGGGGGGAGAATCTTAAAGAAGTGATGAGTGAATTACTAGCCCCAGTGACAGAAATGAAGACGGAATCGTTGCTGAGCGATATGGATGTGGTTTACAGATAATATTCAGGCTATATAAAGAAAAATAATCTGCCTGGGGAAATTGTCGTAAGATTCTCGAAGAGGCATGTGAGGGATGCAATCCTGAAAGCGGTCGCTGGTACACCCCTGAAAGTGGGGGAAAATACCATCAGAACGCTAAAGGATATTCCATTTGAAGTAAGACAACGGAGAAAGAAGTACAAAGAACTTGCGCTTTTTCTTCCGATAAACTCAATGGGATATAAACGGCTATTTTCAGAAGGTGTCACTTTCAAGATTAAAGATAAAAAAGAAAAGATTGACTCTGTTCTGAAAGCTCAAGAATTCCTAAGGGCACAGCTGGGAAGACCAGAGGACGGGAAAAAAGAAGAGGACAGCAAGTCTAGTAGCGAGCTGGACTCGGGTTCTTCCGAAGAGGACTCTCTGACAGAACAAGGGGCAGCTGCTCCAAAAAGTTCTTATAAGCTGCGGAAGAGACGAGGAAAGAAGAAGTGAAGGCTGAAGGACTCTGAATTGTGCCTTTGTGAACTCTGAAACGGGATGATTGGGGGTACTGTTCCTAGACAGTTAAATTTAAGAGTTAAAGAAAAAGAAAGTAATACGAATGTTAGACTCAGTTTATAATAATCTAATTGAAATGAAGATTTGTTGTAACTAAGCTAGTGAGGATCTCCTCTCTTGGGTTTTTAGTCAGTAGTGGGTTCTTTTGCTTTATCCTATATATGTAGTCTCCCCTTCCCTTTTTTCTGTAGTAGTTTTGTAGTGTGATAAAAAATAAGAACAATGGTCCGAAGTATGGAAAGTTAATATAAAATTTACAAAAGCCACTTCATATAAAGAAAACATATATAAA